GGCCACTGTCTTGACGTGAAACTCACATTTCTCTGCCTTGGCGTAGAGGGAATTCTCCAGAAGACGATGAAGGACTTGCTGGACATGGCGGGTGTGTTCAGACAGGTCTCTGGAGTAGATTAAGATGTCATCCAGGTAAACGAAGACAAACTTGTTTAACATGTCCCGCAGTACATCATTCACTAGAGCCTGGAACACAGCAGGAGCATTGGTGAGGCCAAAAGGCATAACCAGATACTCGTAGTGGCCTGTTGGTGTATTGAATGCGGTTTTCCATTCATCTCCCTCCCGGATCCGCACTAGGTGGTAAGCGTTTCTGAGATCCAACTTGGTAAAAACAGTGGCTCCCTGGAGCAACTCAAAAGCAGAGGTGAGCAGAGGCAGAGGGTAACGGTTTTTCACTGTGATGTCGTTGAGTCCCCTGTAGTCGATGCAGGGGCGAAGAGATCCGTCCCTCTTCCCCACAAAGAAGAAGCCAGCACCAGCAGGAGATGAAGATGAACGGATTAATCCTGCGGACAGAGAGTCATTGATGTAGTCCTCCATGGACTTTCTTTCAGGAGCAGACAACGAATAAAGACGGCCCTTTGGAGGGGCTGTTCCAGGGAGGAGGTCGATGGCACAGTCGTACGGTCGGTGAGGGGGCAGAGATGTGGCTCTTGCTTTGTTAAACACTTCTCTGAGACCATGGTAGCATTCTGGGACATTGGAGAGGTCAGGAGCGGAGTTAGTAGGTACTGGCCGAGGGGGTAGTGCGGCAGCAAGCAGGCAGGTTCGGTGGCAGTCCTCTCCCCACTCCCTGATCACCCCGGTCACCCAGTCGAGCTGAGGGTTGTGCCGGCGGAGCCATGGGTAACCCAGGATGAGGGGTTGGCCTGGAGAGGGGAGCAGGTGAAACTGGATAGTTTCTTGATGGTTTCCAGACAGACCCATCGAGACCGGGGCCGTGACATGAGTGACCGATCCGAGTAAGTGTCCGTCCAGTGCCCGGGCAGGAATAGGAGGTGTCAAACGGAGGTTCTCCAGTCCCAGTTGGCGTGCCAGCTTGATGTCCATTATGTTGGCTTCGGCGCCAGAATCCACCAGAGCAGCCAGGGTGTGAGTTGAGTCAGAGAGGCGGAGGTGAACTTGCAGCAGGGGTTTGCGGTCGGAGGACTGGATGGTCATTGAGCTCAACCGGACTCCCCCTATGCCCGGTGAGCTTCGGCTTTTAAAGGGCAGGTTACCACACGATGTCCATCACCTCCACAATAGAGGCAGAGGTTTGAGGTGAAGCGGCGCTGGCGCTCTGCAGGAGTGAGAGAGGCTCGCCCAATCTCCATAGGCTCAGACTGATCAAGCTGACTTGGGTGAGTGGCAGTAGATGACAGGAGCCCAGTCGGATCTCTCCGAATGCCGGTAGTTGGTGGACCTTGGCGCCCCCTCTCACGACGACGGGTCTGTATCCTTCTGTCGATCCGGACAGTCAGTGCGATGGCTTCATCAAGAGTGGAAGGCAGTTCATGGGAGACCAACTCGTCCTTGATATAGTCAGCCAAGCTATGGAAGAACGCGTCCACCAACGATGGTGTGTTCCAAGAACTTCGTCTTGCCAGGGTTCGGAAGTCGATGGAATGGTCTGCGACTGTACGTCTGCCTTGTCGAATACTGAACAGTTCACGAGACGCCTCTGCGGTTGGTGAATCCAGGTCAAACACCTTCAGCATCTCCTCAGCAAACAGGTCGAAGGTTGCACATGCGGGGGTTTGACGTTCGAACTCTGCTGTTCCCCAGAGTCGAGCTCGGCCCGTCAGGTGAGTGATGGCATACCCAACTTTAGCCCCCTCCGTGGCGAAGGTCCTTGGCTGCAAGGAGAACTGAAGTCGGCAGCTAGTCAGGAATGGCCGGACCTGGGTTGAATCGCCGTTGAACCGCTCGGGGTTTCCAATCTTGGGTTCCGGAGCAGCGGCTGCAATGACCGGGGCAGGTAACTCGGGGGCAGGGCTGGTGGGCAGACTGCCTGGAAACGGGCCGGTGGGCGGAGTGGCTGGGGTAAGGTTGGTGAGGAGTTGGATGATCATGGCGAGTTGTTGTTGCTGCTGCTGGAACTGCTGCTGGTGCTGCTGGAACTGCTGATGCTGTTGGTGGCCGACCTGAAGCAGAGAGGTGATGTCGCCGCTCATGCGGGCTAGCCCTCTCTCAGTGTGTTCCAGGCGTAGCATGGCGGTGGGTTGCTCAGGTTCGTCGGTTTCCATGTCGGGGGAAGTGTGCGCTGAGTCCATGATGGTCAGATCGTACTGTCACGGTTCAGACAGACGACCAGAGGACCACAATTGCGTCACACCAGAAAGTTTATTAAAACTTAAGGGAAAAGGGAAGTAGGGAGTGAGTGAAGGCTCCAGGGGTTCCTGGGAATAACAGGGATTCCGTCCAATGTGCTGGGTCTGTGCCCCCCCCAGTGGCAGCGATGCGTCCTATGACGCCGGTGGTGGGTGGTCCAGAAGTCCGGGATCGAAGAGTAGTCAGGAGTCGTTATGGCAGAAAGCAGGTCTGGTTTTCCTGGGGCAGAAGAGTATCCAAGAATCAGGCAGGTCCGGGGTCACAAAACAAGGGTGAGCCAGAAGCGCGAGCAAACAGGTTCCGGGTGTGAGCTTTGCAGACGATCTGACAAAGGAGAGCTGAAAGACAGGGCTTTAAATACTGGGAGAGGTTAGTGGGTAATGCAGCGCAGCTGGCAGAGTAATTAGAGCAGAGCAGAGCAGGGACAGGTGGAGCTAGTTAGGCTGAGTAGAGAGAGTGGTGAGCAGAGTGGAAGATAGTGGAAACAAATTAAGGTGGTAACCCGGTGGAGTGAGAGGGCTCATGACAGAATGTTGCGTTATGCTGAATTACTCAATTTCATGCCAATGACTGAGTTGTTTATTATATATATATTGGTATTCTTTCTTAAAATTGCATTGTTGGTTAAGGGCTTGTAAGTAAGCATTTCACTGTAAGGTCTACACCTGCTGTATTCGGCGCATGTGACGAATACAATTTGATTTGATTTGATTTGTTGCAACAAAGAGAACAAGAGACAGATGTCATCCCCAAACCAATAACAGCACATGAGGAAAACACAGCATGCCAAAATGCTAAATACAAAATACATGCCAGCCAACTGTGGTCAAATATATTCATACAGGAAATTAAAAGATGCCTGTTGGTGGGATTACACTAGTCGTGGTCTGCCAGTAATGAGCAGTTAGAAAACACTGTTGAATCCCAGTTCAAATTGTTCATCCATCTCATAGACTAGACGTAGCATAGTAAACATAAATCCAGGAGACTCAAATTAGTGTGATATGTTACATTTGGTATGGTTACATAAGACAGGTTACTTAAGGTTACTTAAGGCAAAAATGAAAGTAGGGTGGTTGGTCGGGGTGGATGGATGGATGGGTGGGTGTATAACACGAACGTCTAGCAACCCAAAGGTTGCGTGCTTGAATCTCATCACGGGCAACTTGTGCATTTTAGCTAATTAGCAACTTTGCAACTACTTACTACTTTTTACCTACTTTGCAACCACTTAGCATGTTAGCTAACCCTTCCCCTTCCCCTAACCCTAACACTAACCCTTTAACCTAACTCCTAACCTTAACCCCTAACCCCTAGCCTAGCCACCTAGCTAATGTTAGCTACAAGAAATTGGAATTCGTAACATATACGTTTGCAAATTCATAACAGATTGTACGAATTGCAATTTGTAACATATTGTACGAATTGTAATTCGTAACATATCATACGAAATGGATGATGGAAAGACTCAAATTAATACATATCATACTAATTGGAGTGTCCCGGATGTCCATTTACTATGTTAGGTCTACCCCTAAGTCCAGGTTGAAATATTCCAAACACACTACAACAAAGATACATGTGTTTTTGAGAGCCTCGGCAGCACAAAGGATGTTTCCTCACCGGGCTCCTTGCCAGAGTAACACGTCTTATAGCCTCACACTTCACATCTGTTCAGATCAGGAGGCAATACACCAAAGACACACGCCTGTTGGGTGAGCTGCTGCACACAACAGCCACACTCATATTTGTGTGGATAAGTACAACAGCTGCAGGGGAGAGAGAGAGAACAAGGGCCTCCACTGTGTTCTCTGCTCTGAGACTTTACTTGAGTTTACTGCAGCTGGGGCGTGTGCGTTCGTGTGCTCCCAGGTTGCTCAATATAGTCTGCATGAAGGAAGAGTACTGCAGGAGGAGACATAAATCAGTTCTCTGAGAGATCAAATAAGGCTTTGCAGCTGAACTCTACCTCGTAAACTTAAAGCACTGCACCTGAGGTCATCAGTTCCTGCCCTCTACTTTGTCGTTCTCTCTCTCTCTCGCTCTCTCTCTCTCCCCCATAAACACACACCCCTAAAATACTATTGTTATGTAAATCATAAAACTTTCTTAAAAACTTTCTGTGCAAGACTTCTAAGTGGAGAGTGCAATTGAGAGAGCCCACTTTAGGATTTGTAATACCTTTCCAATGTGAGCCTATGAGAGGTTGAAGTAGCTGACACTGCAATCCAGAGAAGGTTTAGGGGTTGGGGGTGAGTGACTGCAGATGAATCCACTCTGTCATTGACTGTGCAGTACTTTTCTCTTCACTATAATATACTGCAGCCTATTGATTAGCATTGGCACATCCATAACCCTGGAGGTACTCTGGAGATTAAACAGTGTGAGGTGCTGAGTGAATGCTGATGGACAAAGGTTAGGACCCCTTATTCCTTTGAGGTTCTAAATCAAACACTTGTTCAAAGACCATTTGATGTGATTATGAAATTCACCATATTAAAGTTATACATCTCTCTCATATGCACCAGGACACAAAGCATTGGCTTGGTTCTTTAGTCTGGTTCTTATTGTATTAGACTAGAATGTGGGGCTACTTTCCATCCAATGTTGTAGTTAAATACACCTTCTAATTTAGTGAGGAGAAACACTCTGTACAAACAAAACACTTGAAACTCTCTTGCCTTCAGAATAGTTTGGCAGTGACATATTTATTTGACACAATAATTAATAACTAATAATCCATAGTGATTTCACAACCTCTCATTCATAGGCAAGCCTGTCAGTTGTTTCTCTTAATTGAAAATAATTAAGCATAGATTTACCTTCAGATCCTTTGTTGAGAACGGTAGCCAATAAGAAAGGCAGTAAAGCTTAGAAATAAAGGTAATAATGTTCTACTCTCCACAAATCAGAATGTTTCATATTGCAATGTTTGCATCAATACACTTCAGAGAGAATTCACTACTGCTTAATTTGAATTCAATAAAACATAGTTCTGTTTGTTTATTTTTTTCAAACCAGGTGACCTCAATCTGTCAGGTAACAGTTGTGCTTTTAACACCAAAATGTTTTCACTCGTTATATTTACAAAAGTCACAAAGTATAAATAGGTTGTGTAAATATTGCATATGGGATTTCAAAACATTTGCCCACCTACACACACAATAAATACATTCAAGAAGGAATACTAATTTGCAACTTGTTTGCAAAATTGCATAGCAAGGATGTGAGACAGTATCGAGATGCTGTCATCACAACTTGAAAGAAGTGTTCTGAGAAGTTCTGGGTGGAGTAACAAATATCCTGAAGTAAAACTAAAGCTTGGGTTTTCAACACATGTTCTCTAGGCTAAACCAACAAACACACATACACCTGCATGTGAGATAGGCTATACGGTTTGTAGCTGAAGTTTTCAAACATGTATTACAATCATTTCTTTCCAACATTGACTGAATGCATTGAGACTGCACATTAAAGGGGGTGTGCAAAGGAATGCGTTTCCATTCATCAGAGGCCAGGGAGGCTGATAGGGGACCTACAACAACACAGGGACTGTGGCGTGTGTGTTGTTTGTTTTCTGTGTAGAGTTCTTATCCTTCCTTGGGTTTACCCTCTAGGAATTCCTGGATCTTCTGCAGGCTCTCTTCCTGCTGGCCCAGCGCCTCCAGTAGAATACCCATTGGCGACTTCTTCAGCCCCGCCCCCTCAATCTTATTCTCCAGTTTATTCTTCATGTTGCGAAGGCGAAGTGAGGCGTGTGCAAAGATCACTGAAGTCAAAATATATAGAAACAGATGAATACCCTTAATTTGCACTAATGTAAAAACACCAATGTAATTAATACCTCCAGGATAATCTATGTGGAGCCTTTCAAATTGGAATAACTTCAATTCAAGTTTGACCATTTATTTACCAATGGCATAATTGTGGTGTAGCTTGAAGAAACATTTAATACCAAACCCTTAAACTTACAGAGAATAGGAAATGTGATCCCAAACATGAAGACCATGACGCCATCGAAGAGAGACATAAGAAAGTAGCTGGCGACCATCACTGCCATGACAAATAATGTGGGGTTCTGCCTCTTAAAGTCCTTGACCATGGCCTTATTCTCTCCAGCCCACACTGAACCCAGGAAGACCAGCGACACCACCGCCATGCCCATGAACATCCCCATAGGGTTGAGGAACCTGCAGGGAAACACACACACCACAACATAATGAGATGTCTGTGTGTGTGTGTGTGTGTGTGTAACAGTTTATATTTCATGTAGTCATGGATACCATCTAGTGGTGACAGGTTGTCAACACATCAACATGACTTTTTAACCCCAATGCAAATATTTATACAAAACATTTTTCATTAATAATTTCAAAGACTATGGTGACATGTTACAGAAGTTATTCTGCAAAAGAATAGCCCACTGAAGGATGAGAGGGACTTTTATACAGCAAGTAATTTTGACATACAGTGGGGGAAAAAAGTATTTAGTCAGCCACCAATTGTGCAAGTTCTCCCACTTAAAAAGATGAGAGAGGCCTGTAATTTTCATCATAGGTACACGTCAACTATGACAGACAAATTGAGAAATAAAAACCCAGAAAATCACATTGTAGGATTTTTAATGAATTTATTTGCAAATTATGGTGGAAAATAAGTATTTGGTCAATAACAAAAGTTTCTCAATACTTTGTTATATACCCTTTGTTGGCAATGACACAGGTCAAACGTTTTCTGTAAGTCTTCACAAGGTTTTCACACACTGTTGCTGGTATTTTGGCCCATTCCTCCATGCAGATCTCCTCTAGAGCAGTGATGTTTTGGGGCTGTCGCTGGGCAACACGGACTTTCAACTCCCTCCAAAGACTTTCTATGGGGTTGAGATCTGGAGACTGGCTAGGCCACTCCAGGACCTTGAAATGCTTCTTACGAAGCCACTCCTTCGTTGCCCGGGCGGTGTGTTTGGGATCATTGTCATGCTGAAAGACCCAGCCACGTTTCATCTTCAATGCCCTTGCTGATGGAAGGAGGTTTTCACTCAAAATCTCACGATACATGGCCCCATTCATTCTTTCCTTTACACAGATCAGTCGTCCTGGTCCCTTTGCAGAAAAACAGCCCCAAAGCATGATGTTTCCACCCCCATGCTTCACAGTAGGTATGGAGTTCTTTGGATGCAACTCCGCATTCTTTGTCCTCCAAACACGACGAGTTTAGTTTTTACCAAAACGTTCTATTTTGGTTTCATCTGACCATATGACATTCTCCCAATCCTCTTCTGGATCATCCAAATGCACTCTAGCAAACTTCAGACGGGCCTGGACATGTACTGGCTTAAGCAGGGGGACACGTCTGGCACTGCAGGATTTGAGTCCCTGGCGGCGTAGTGTGTTACTGATGGTAGGCTTTGTTACTTTGGTCCCAGCTCTCTGCAGGTCATTCACTAGGTCCCCCCGTGTGGTTCTGGGATTTTTGCTCACCGTTCTTGTGATCATTTTGACCCCACGGGGTGAGATCTTGCGTGGAGCCCCAGATCGAGGGAGATTATCAGTGGTCTTGTATGTCTTCCATTTCCTAATAATTGCTCCCACAGTTGATTTCTTCAAACCAAGCTGCTTACCTATTTCAGATTCAGTCTTCCCAGCCTGGTGCAGGTCTACAATTTTGTTTCTGGTGTCCTTTGACAGCTCTTTGGTCTTGGCCATAGTGGAGTTTGGAGTGTGACTGTTTGAGGTTGTGGACAGGTGTCTGTTATACTGATAACAAGTTCAAACAGGTACCATTTATATAGGTAACGAGTGGAGGACAGAGGAGCCTCTTAAAGAAGAAGTTACAGGTCTGTGAGAGCCAGAAATCTTGCTTGTTTGTAGGTGACCAAATACTTATTTTCCATCATAATTTGCAAATAAATTCATTAAAAATCCTACAATGTGATTTTCTGGGTTTTTATTTCTCAATTTGTCTGTCATAGTTGACGTGTACCTATGATGAAAATTACAGGCCTCTCTCATCTTTTTAAGTGGGAGAACTTGCACAATTGGTGGCTGACTAAATACTTTTTTCCCCACTGTAGCCCTATGGTGCAATGTTAGGAATGTTATCATTTTGTCTCAAACTTCATTCAAGAGTGTTGTTTTAGATCATATGACTCCTGGACGTTATGTCTCCAGACTCCAATAGTGAACTTTGCCCAACCTCCAGTGAATAAGGACAGCTGTCTCTCATATCCCTGTTATCTAGAACAGCAGCTGATAAGTGAGCAGGGATTAGGGGCCTAGTAGTTGACTACCATAGCAATGGTGTGTCATCATAATCAAGTAGGCCTAGCCAAAAGATGACTATTTTTTTGAAAAACTGACTCCACATTTCTAAAGTAATTCCCCTTCCTCTATAGTGATTTTGGTGATCAATTGTTAGTTATGCAGTCATGACAGGATACCGCCATTTGTGGGAATCTGTCGGGAATAACTACAACAAGGACTGCACGCTGTGTCCAGAGATTAACCACTGCCAAGATATGGTGGCTTTTTGTGTGCTTTTCAGCAGCCATGGCATCACCAAGGTGGGTGCTACATGTTCGGCAATGGAGGACCAGTACCTACGGAGGAGCGACGTTTGGAGGAACAGGCGTGGTGCACTGATGAAGAGCTCCAGGCCTGTTTTTCAGACTGTCTTTGTTTCTTCTTGGCTGTACCACCAATGCGCCCTCCGCTGAAGCTACACTGCATGTCCAATCCAAACTACCTCAACTCCCGGCCTTTCCATCATCCAAAGCCAACTAGAGACATTCAGTCTCCAACTTCATCATCTCAATTTCAAAGTGTTGTTTCTTTGCTTTTTGTGCACTTTGAGATTATTTTCTGTAATGAAAAGTGCTATACAAGTTAAATAAAGTATTATTATTTTCAAGAAGAGCTTCAGCAGGATGCAAGACATGAGTCTCTCAACCTGTGAAGCGTGCCCACATCCTCTATGCTCAAAATAAGTCTGGAGGCTTCGGTTGACAAATCATGCTCTCTGTCTCCCTTGGCATTAGTCATAAATAGGCCTAGCAAGGTGCCAACCTTCCGATTTGGCAATGGAAAGAGAAAGCTTATTCAGGTGAACTGTAAGACAGAATAAAGCGCCAACATCATGCATGGTAGCAACATAGGATCTGCCTATAGCAGCTGTTATGGCACTATGTTTAGACTTTAAAGTGAGTCCCTGCATCCATAATTAGCCAATGAGACCCAACTTTAATTTCAGGCATCAGTTAAAGGTGCGATCTGGGATCTGGGAATCTGTTTAATGGCCATTTATACCCAATGAGAATTATTCTTGAAGAACTTATTAATGGCTCAGCTCAATAGCACAACTGTTTTACCCTATCATAACCCAACATATACTCCATTGTTCACACACACACACACAAACAAACAAACAAGAAAAACCAAACAATGTATACCAAAACAAGGAGCGGGCTGTCATTTAGCTGAAAAACGAATCCCAGATTGTAGTTTTAATAGATGTCAACTGTTATAACTGGTGATGGTGGACTACAGTAAAGCAGATTTCCCAACACTTAAAGCTGCAATATGTAACTTTTTGGGCGACGACCAGATTCACATACAAATGTGAGTTATAGAACAAGTCTAAGAAGCAGTATATCTATTAAATGTGCACTATTTCTATGCTTCTCTTTCTTATGTTTAGTTTGTCTTTTACTTTCGACTTTGTACAGAAGCTTCAAACAGCTGAAAATCATATTTCCTGGTATTGAAAATATATTGTACAGCAGTTTTGAAGCTACAATGATTCTCGACACTATACATTGCTTGTTTTATCACATAATCTGAAATTAGGCAAACTATTAGAATTTTAGCAACCAGGAAATGGCTGTGTGTGATTTCTGCTTTTTGCACCTTTAACATGCCACATAGCCTATTTCCACCAGAGTGTAGCATGACACACCAGAGATGTTATGTTCTCGATACAAATTGTGGACAGTGTCTCATGCTACTTACCCCACAATAAGGAAAACAATGATAGCCATCGCAAAATAGTTTGTCTGATAGTAAAGCAAGTTGTTGACAACCCTGTTGTTCCATCTAGGTAAATCTCTCGCGTCTGGTTTAGCAAATCTTTCGGAACCTGGGAAATAATCGTCCCAAGGTCTCAGCGGTGTGAGTTCTACCCTAGCCATTTGGCTCCTGTATGAAGAGTGTAAAATATAATGACCAGGCTTGTTGTAGGCTACAGCAAACAGAAAATCAGACTCAACAGTCACTAAAGAAATCATCTTCCGTTTCTCGCGATAGCTTTCGAAGTACCACCCTGTCTGTGGTCTGAACCCATAGATCAATGAATGGTCTGATCAGAGAAGGGACAGAGGCTACGGAGTAATTTATCCAGCATGCTGAGAATGCGCTTTATAATCTCTCTGATAACATTTAATTGATTTTAGAGTAATCTATTGAATCAATTTAAAAGAGTTATCAACCATACATATATTTACAGTCTTTTCATCTCTGTCTAGCTCAGTCAAAATGATCTGACAAGTGGAATTATGGCATTAGTAGTTAGTTTAGGGAAATGTTCTACGCAGCTAGACATCGCGCAACTGTAGTAACAAAGTGATGGAGTCCACAAGTGTCAAATAAATTGCAACAAAGTAACAGTTAATTCAAAAATTATTCGAATGAAATCGCGCGTTGTTTCTTCTGTACCCCGCCCTTTTTATGACGAACACACTCTTATTGGTCACGGTCAGCGAGCTCCTGTGGTGAAAGTAAGTACACTTCCTGCTGTCTCAGAACATGCATGGAACGGGAATAATATTTCTAACAACATATCCCCAAAGAAGGGAAATAATTCATATTTTGTTGCAGGTCTGTCCTTATGAGATTAATAGTGATACAATTCTACTTTACCAGATGCACTTTATATATATATCGCTTACAAGAGCCAACATGTTTGCATGCGTGCTTCAGTTAGCTAAATGAGCTAGCTAGCAATAGCTATTGGAACATGGAATGTGAGAAACATGGAATCCAATTTCTGTACTAGGTGATAACTGTAATGAAAAGACTACGGTAGTTGTTTGGTCTCTAAGCTAGCTGAATGTGTCTGGCAACCACCACAAGTTCATTCACTGTAACTGCACATCAATAGTTAACGTTATCTAGCTAACCACAGCTAGCTATAGCTAACATTGACTTGCTCTTCTCAACAACAGTATCTAGATGTGGGGGAGAATCCTGAATCCTGTGGTGATTACCAGAGTTCGTCTCACTTGGAGTGCCAGAAGTCTCTTCACCATGCAGCTGAAGACTACAGAGTTCAAGTCCTTATTCAGTGATGGACTGAATGGCATAGCAGGTGAGAGCAGGTACATTTTTGCTACCAACCAATTTAGCCATATCAAAGTCTAGTCAGTGGCACGTAACCTCACAAGCAGAAAGTGGAAGATGAGAACTGCTCAGAATAAGTTGATCCTCGGAAGTTCAAACTATATCCCATATTTCTACTTAGAGATTTGTATTATTATTATTATTATTATTATTAACCTTTATTTAAACAGGGAGTCACATTGAGAGATAACTATTTTACAAGGGAGCCCTGTATACGTTTACAAAAACCCCAACACATAAATAAACACAACAGCCCTACAAAACACACTATAATAAAACACATAATACACAACATTAAACATATTTAAGAAAAGCAATCGCATTCTGTAACAGTCTCCAATCAATAATTTAAAATGCCCCCTCAAGATAGATTCTGAGCCTGCCTGGCAGGGTTGGTCCTACAAAGCCAGAGCCCCCTGATGGGAGAGCATAATATACAAGGAAATTCTCAAAGCTGCTAATGAGAACCTTGACGACCTTGTACCTAGTCGGTGGGGATTCCGGTAGGGTACCCCCACCCAGGTAGTGGCAGCACTGGCTGCAGTAACCCATGGGGAGGGGGTCACACTCTGACATTCAGAGAGGGGGCATATTATTGTGGCCCTGTTGGCACAAAATAATCAAAGGTCTGACTGCAAAGCGATGCTTGGGAAAATGGTCACAACAGGGGACCAGCGTGTGTGTGCTTCAGGTGAAGGGGGTGGATCTGTTCTCCATCACTTAGGCCTTGACATTGGTTAATCAAATCTCAAGTTTTTTGCTCGATCTTGCATGCTTTCTCAAACAGCTGTAACTGTATATGCACTCGTAAATCAGGTCCTTTCTTGAGTTGGGCTCTGGAATGTAACAACCGTTGAGCATCTGAACTTATGGTTGATTGTGGGGGAAAGGGGTTGAGTGTGTAAGAGTGTGTGTGTGTGTGTATCCCTCATCTGTTGCAAGGGGGTAAGGATGTTAGGGACAATATAGGACAAAAATGTAATGCAATGGCAATCCTGGTTATAGGTAACAATCCTTTGCATGAACTGCCAGCATTATTATGCATATTAATTGTTAATGATGGAAATTAAGATACGCAAGATATTTGAATAGATATATATTTTTAATAGCTATATATAAAGCAAAATGAGGTGAGAGCATTGTAAAGACTTTTAGCGGTTGATCTGCTTCTGTTCTGTGGGTGGCACTGTGTGTTGTTTTCGAAGGATGGGTCCGGGCCTAGGGATCCGAGGGGACGAGGGTGGTCTGCTGGTCACAGGGATGACAACCCAACTTGGGATGGGGAAGGGATTTAGCGGGTGGAATAGTGGAGAACAATTGGAGGGTTACTTAGTAGCAATGCAAATATCATGGTACAGGTATATGGACACTCAATCACTATGGTAATTTTTAATTAGTAACACTCAATCCAGAAAATCACATTGTAGGATTTTTAATGAATTTATTTGCAAATTATGGTGGAAAATAAGTATTTGGTCACCTACAAACAAGCAAGATTTCTGGCTCTCACAGACCTGTAACTTCTTTAAGAGGCTCCTCTGTCCTCCACCTGTTACCTGTATTAATGGCACCTGTTTGAACTTGTTATCAGTATAAAAGACACCTGTCCACAACCTCAAACAGTCACACTCCAAATTCCACTATGGCCAAGACCAAAGAGCTGTCAAAGGACACCAGAAACAAAATTGTAGACCTGCACAAGGCTGGGAAGACTGAATCTGCAATAGGTAAGCAGCTTGGTTTGAAGAAATCAACTGTGGGACCAATTATTAGGAAATGGAAGACATACAAGACCACTGATAATCTCCCTCGATCTGGGGCTCCACGCAAGATCTCACCCCGTGGGGTCAAAATGATCACAAGAACGGTGAGCAAAAATCCCAGAACCACACGGGGGGACCTAGTGAATGACCTGCAGAGAGCTGGGACTAAAGTAACAAAGCCTACCATCAGTAACACACTACGCCGCCAGGGACTCAAATCCTGCAGTGCCAGACGTGTCCCCCTGCTTAAGCCAGTACATGTCCAGGCCCGTCTGAAGTTTGCTAGAGTGCATTTGGATGATCCAGAAGAAGATTGGGAGAATGTCATATGGTCAGATGAAACCAAAATAGAACCTTTTGGTAAAAACTCAACTCGTCGTGTTTGGAGGACAAAGAATGCTGAGTTGCATCCAAAGAACACCATACCTACTGTGAAGCATGGGGGTGGAAACATCATGCTTTGGGGCTGTTTTTCTGCAAAGGGACCAGGACGACTGATCCATGTAAAGGAAAGAATGAATGGGGCCATGTATCGTGAGATTTTGAGTGAAAACCTCCTTCCATCAGCAAGGGCATTGAAGATGAAATGTGGCTGGGTCTTTCAGCATGACAATGATCCCAAACACACCGCCCGGGCAACAAAGGAGTGGCTTCGTAAGAAGCATTTCAAGGTCCTGGAGTGGCCTAGCCAGTCTCCAGATCTCAACCCCATAGAAAATCTTTGGAGGGAGTTGAAAGTCCGTGTTGCCCAGCGACAGCCCCAAAACATCACTGCTCTAGAGGAGATCTGCATGGAGGAATGGGCCAAAATACCAGCAACAGTGTGTGAAAACCTTGTGAAGACTTACAGAAAACGTTTGACCTGTGTCATTGCCAACAAAGGGTATATAACAAAGTATTGAGAAACTTTTGTTATTGACCAAATACTTATTTTCCACCATAATTTGCAAATAAATTCATTAAAAATCCTGCAATGTGATTTTCTGGATTTTCTTTCCTCATTTTGTCTGTCATAGTTGAAGTGTACCTATGATGAAAATTACAGGCCTCTCTCATCTTTTTAAGTGGGAGAACTTGCACAATTGGTGGCTGACTAAATACTTTTTCCCCCCACTGTATATATATACTGAGATCATGTGACAGATCATGTGACACTTAGATTGCACACAGGTGGACTTTATTTAACTAATTATGTGACTTCTGAAGGTAATTGGTTGCACCAGATCTTATTTAGGGGCTTCATAGCAAAGGGGGTGAATACATATGCACGCACCACTTTTTGTTTATTTATTTTTTAGAATCTTTTGAAACTAGTTATTTTTTTCATTTCACTTCACCAATTTGGCTATTTTGTGTATGTCCAATACATGAAATCCAAATAAAAATCAATTTAAATTACAGGTTGTAATGCAACAAAATAGGAAAAACGCCAAGGGGGATGAATACTTTTGCAAGGCACTGTACATAATGTCACCATAGTCTATTACAGGTAGAATTATTGTTTGGACCTTCTTCCTTCTATTTTCAGAACTGAGGCAGGATTTATTTCTATATAAAAAAAACAATCATAGATCTCAGCTTCTTCGTCAAGTTTTGAATGTGTGTTTCAAAAGACAACTTGTCATCAATCCAGATACCATGAGGCCGGGACTTGAGAACCAGGTTTGGATCAGAATGTATTAATCAGTGTGTCTGCTTATATTATGATTAATGAATTGAGTGATGCAGGGGTCAATTCATTTCAACACTAGACATCTTATCTTATCATTTATGCATGCATATCTCCATAGAGATCTTTGAGAAGCACAAGTTTGAGCTGAGGATAGCAGGGGGTGCTGTGAGGGACCTCTTGTCTGGGAAGCGGCCAGAGGATGTGGACTTTGCGACCACGGCAACACCAGAGGAGATGAAGAGGATGTTCCAGACTGCAGGGATCAGGATGATCAACAATAAAGGAGAGAAGCATGGGACCATCACTGCTCGAGTAAGAGTACACAAGATTACTGTGCAGTTTGACCAGCTATACAGTCGTGGTCAAAAGTTTTGAGAATGACACAAATACTAATTTTCACAAAGTCTGCTGCCTCAGTTTTGATGATGGCAATTTGTATATACTCCAGAATGTTATGAAGAGTGATCAGATGAATTGCAAAGTCCCTCTTTGCCATGAAAATGAAATTAATCCCAAAAAAACATTTCCACTGCATTTCAGCCCTGCCACAAAAGGACCAGCTGCCATCATGTCAGTGATTCTCTCGTTAACACAGGTGAGAGTGTTGACGAGGACAAGGCTGGAGATCACTCTGTCATGCTGATTGAGTTAGGTCATTACATAACGATGGTCATTATGGCCAAACAGTTTTATTTTGTTTCATCAGACCAGAGGACATTTCTCCAGAAAGTATGATCTTTGTCCCCATGTGCAGTTGCAAACCGTAGTCTGGTTTTTTTATGACGGTTTTGGAGTAGTGGCTTCTTCCTTGCTGAGCGGCCTTTCAGGTTATGTCGATATAGGACTCGTTTTACTGTGGATATAGATACTTTTGTACCTGTTTCCTCTAGCATTCTCACAAGGTCCTTTGCTGTTGTTCTGGGATTGATTTGCACTTTTCGCACCAAAGTACGTTCATCTCTAGGAGACAGAATGCATCTCCTTCCTGAGCGGTATGACGGCTGTGTGGTCAAATGGTGTTTATACTTGCGTACTATTGTTTGTACAGATGAACGTGGTACCATCATGTCAGTGATTCTCTCGTTAACACAGGTGAGAGTGTTGACGAGGACAAGGCTGGAGATCACTCTGTCATGCTGATTGAGTTAGAATAACTGGAAGCTTCCAGACTGGAAGCTTTAAAAGGAGGGTGATGCTTGAAATCATTGTTCTTCCTCTGTTAACCATGGTTACCTGCAAGGAAACACGTGCCGTTATCATTGCTTTGCACAAAAAGGGCTTCACAGGCAAGGATATTGCTGCTAGTAAGATTGCACCTAAATCAACCATTTATCGGATCATCAAGAACTTCAAGGAGAGAGGTTCAATTGTTGTGAAGAAGGCGTCAGGGCGCCCAAGAAAGTCCTGCAAGCGCCAGGACCGTCTCCTAAAGTTGATTTAGCTGCGGGATCGGGGCACAGTGAGGCGAATACTTTTGGAGGATGTCCTGGTGTCAAGAACGGCAGCAAAGAAGCTTACTTACTTACTTACTTTATTGTCCCCATGGGGAAATTTTGTTGCAGTGTCATGTACACATTTAAAGTGGCGTTAAATACAAAACAAGATTGACAATACAACTTTCAATAACAGTCACGCACCAATAAAAGTAAGAAATAAGAAATAAAACATTTAAAACATTTAAAACAAAGACTAGCCTGCTGGCCTTACGGGGTCAATGGGAACATTTGCCCGAGCTATTTAAGAGGGATATCACACCTGGCACAAATGATTGTCTCGTTCTATTTTTCCTGCTGAGGGGTGCCCTATACCTACGCCCAGAGGGGCAGCAAAGAAGCCACTTCTCTCCTGGAAAAACATCAGGGACAGACTGATATTCTGCAAAAGGTACAGGGATTGGACTGCTGAGGACTGGGGTAAAGTCATTTTCTCTGATGAATCCCCTTTCCGATTGTTTGGGGTATCTGGAAAACACCTTGTCCGGAGAAGAAAAGGTGAGCGCTACAATCAGTCCTGTGTCATGCCAACAGTAAAGCATCCTGAGACCATTCATGTGTGGGGTTTCTTCTCAGCCAAGGGAGTGGGCTCACTCACAATTTTGCCTAAGAACATAGCCATGAATAAAGAATGGTACCAACACATCCTCCGAGAGCAACTTCTCCCAACCATCCAAGAACAGTTTAGTGACGACCAATGCATTTTCCAGCATGATGGAGCACCTTGCCATAAGGCAAAAGTGATAACTAAGTGGCTCGGGGAACAAAACATCGACATTTTTGGTCCATGGCCAGGAAATTCCCCAGACCTTAATCCCATTGAGAACTTGTGGTCGATCCTCAAGAGGCGGGTGGACAAACAAAAACCCACAAATTCTGACAAACTCCAAGCATTGAGTATGCAAGAATGGGCTGCCATCAGTCAGGATGTGGCCCAGAAGTTAATTGACAGCATGCCAGGGCGGATTGCAGATGTCTTGAAAAAGAAGGGTCAACACTGCAAATATTGACTCTTTGCATAAACTTAATGTAATTGTCAATAAAAGCCTTTGACACTTATGGAATGCTTGTAATTATACTTCAGTATACAAAAGTTACATCTGACAAAAAATATCTCATAACACTGAAGCAGCGAACTTTGTGAAGACCAATACTTGTGTCATTCTCAAAACTTTTGACCACGACTGTACACAAATATTCCAGATCCAGAATGTGAGACTGATGTGATGTTGAAATGTTGTCTTACGCTACTTTTCTTTCTACAATCCAATTTTTATTACGATGAGGTGAAGTGTTAAAAGTCAATGTAGCATTAATTCTGCTGTACAGTAGGCCTGTGTGTTTGTGGCTTTGAAACACATGACATTTGTCTTCATCTCTAGCTTCACAATGAGAACTTTGAAGTGACCACACTGCGCATAGATGTTCAGACGGATGGACGGCATGCAGAGGTAGAGTTCACAACAGACTGGCAGAAAGATGCAGAGCGCCGAGACCTCACCATCAACTCCATGTTTTTAGGTGTGTTTATAGTATATTTTCACCCCTTCTGAAATGAATGCCAAACTTGATATTAGAAGGGGGGGGGGGGAAACATGTCTTATTTGATTTCTGACTGAACAGGGTTAGATGGGACCCTATATGATTACTTCCAAGGATATGAGGACCTCAAGAACCGAAAAGTTCGGTTTGTTGGCAGTGCTGAGCAAAGGATTCAGGAGGACTACTTGAGAATATTACGATACTTCAGGTAATCCAGTGTTGTCTGGGGTGTAAATGGGACAGGTGTTTGTTGTATTTGGCTAACAAATTAAACTTTAGTATATGAGGGTTTCCGCATGTTATTTTTGTCCTTACTTGTGTATATCTCCCGGTCTGCCCCCAGGTTTTATGGTCGGGTATCAGTAAAGGCAGGGGAACATGACCCTGCTACCTTGGAGGCGATCAGGGAGAACGCCCGTGGCCTGGCAGCCATATCAGGGGAGCGCATCTGGGTTGAGCTGAAGAAGATGGTGGTGGGCAACCATGCTGCCCACCTTCTAAAGGTCATGTATGAGCTGGGCCTGGCTCAGTTCATAGGTGAGGGAGAAAGCCCTGTTTGCTAGTGTTAGAAATTGCGTAATTCAAATCTGGTATTGGAATAAGAATCAAGAGATCTTCTATCCAATCTTAATTTATTATATGCAAAATGTATGTATGATAAGTATGAAGGTTCGTATATACGGGTCCACTGAAATACCTCGCAGGGCACTCAGAGAACTAAACCATTGTTTACAGATTCTTTCTCAAATACTCTGACAGAGAGTTCCCACCTCTTCTGTTGGCCAATCAGAGTAAAGGACTGAGTGTGGTTTAGACTTTACTCAGCCAATCCGTTGGCGCACGGGTTAGTCCCAACCCCTTGGCGCTCCACCCCTTGGCGCTCCACCGTTCCCAGGCATAAGTTGCTATCATAATAACCTGTAGAGTCAGCACCCAATCTGTACTCTATGTACCTACGTTCAAGGACGGTTTCACAGACAACAAAGAGAGTGTTCGTATCTGTAAGAAATACAAGTCTTATCTGTCCTACCCCTAACGTTCCTTACATGAATCACAGCCTGTTATGTGAAACAATTTATATCAGTATAGTACAAACCTATGCTTATCATTAATGCATTCCTTCTAAGTTATTCATCACATACAGATCCAATTATGAGAAAAATAGAACCCAACACTAGGAACAATGGTATGGGGAGTCATGCATGTTGGAGTCATGTAACCAATTATAGTAACCATACAACCAATTATAGTAACCATGCAACCAATGACATAAAGCATACCTCAATGCACTATATTTAGGGCGTCCCGGTGACAGACCACTAGAAATGTTCTCAGCTAGAGCATAGGTCTTTTTAGATGGTATCATAATTATAGTTGTGTAAGAGTTGTACTTTTATTCCCAGGTTTACCTGCAGAGGGCGACGTGGAGGAGATGAAGCGGGTCTGGCAGCATGTGAAGGACCATTCTCCCAAGCCCATGACTGTTCTGTCTGCCCTGTTCCGCTGCTCTGAGGAGGTGGAGAAGATGGACCTGAGGCTGAAGGTCTCCAGGGAGGAGAAGAACCTGGCTCTGTTCCTGGTCAAACACAGACGGGACCTCCATAAGTCCCAGGATGATCCAGACAGCCTGAAGCCCTACACTGACTTTATCATAGATGTAAGCACGGCCATCACAAGACAAAATGAGTTGATTTGAATAACACTTAGTGTATTTAAATTAAGACTGTCAAAATGGTGTCCTTTTTGGAACTGAGTGCCATGAAGCCCAACCTGACAGAAGCATATGGTCTGGTAGATAATTTCTATGTATCTTGTTTGCAGAGTCGGGAGGTGGATGCTCAGAGTAAAGTATGTGAACTGCTCAAGTACCAGGGGGAGGACAAGTTATTGGCAGAGATGAGCAGATGGTCCATTCCTCGCTTCCCTGTGAGTGGGCACGACTTGAGGAAGATGGGCATCACCTCGGGCAAGGAGATTGGCACTATCCTACAGAACCTACGAGATGTGTGGAAAAGGAGCCGTTACCAGATGGACAAAGACGAGCTGCTTTGTCATGTCAACAAGACATAATTCCAGTGTGTAGCAGGTGTTATCTGTTGATTTTTCCAGACTGAGTGTTGGATATGAGAATGAGAGAGAAACCCCACAAGGACTGAATCATATTTACTGTGTTTAACTAATTTAGCCCAGTGCAGCACTTAAAGAGTTTGGGTATTATGCTCTCAGCTGCACAGCTGTCCTATGAAAAAAGTTATGTGGCATTATAGATATCAGAACCATTATTTTGTACAGTTCCTGCCCCGAAATGCCTTTGAGATTGCTGTTGTGATTTTAGTTGGGATTCAGTCAATACGATTAATTGGAAAACTTAATATTTTGCCAATTCTCAATGGTGCTTGGAGAGATCAAGCAATGAAAGGCTAATGAGCAATGTGGAATGTTTTCTAATCATACCTCAGAAAGGCGGTCTTTGACCAATGTAGTGAACAGAATAAATCTGTTTATTTCATGGGGAGAAAAAAAACATGACTTCAGGAATTTTGTTTTGACAACTCATCAAATGGCTTACATTTTAGTCATTTAGCAGATGCTAGCGACCTTTCGGTTACTGGCACTACGCTCTTAACCACTAAGCTACTTGCCGCCCAGGGTGAAATCAGCTTGTGGGTTCTCCATGTGTTTTCTCTTATTAAATATTTAGTCTATTTAATGAAGTGTTCATGGATAAAGCAGGTGGTGTGTAAAAAGTTACAAACTATACCCTAACTTTGAAAGGATGTACCTAAGTGACACAAATAATAAAGCCCAAGGTTGACTTGGAACAAAATACTAAATGTATTCTTCTTAATTTTGATATTCATATTTGTTCTCTTTTTTGTTGTTGTTGGGCTGCTTACTTTGTGATGCCTGTGAGTCTTATCATAAATTTGTTGTACTATTGCATGCCACTTTCTGCCTTTTGCAGTGAATCCTGAGTACCGGTGTAATCTTTCCAGATGTATATTTTATTTCTAAAATGTATAGAATTTGTTGTTATTGTAAAGGTGCAGAAGGATAGCCCCTCCCTCCTGCTGCGCATCCAAGATATAAATAATTTGCTCCCGCAGACGCTCCTCCATTCACATCGTTGCGCGCACTTGGTGCCATCCATCTCCAAAGTTTTCGCGTGTCAAGACGCTTTCTAGGTCTATCCTTTAAACAATTGCTGGAGAACAGGACATGTCTTTAGTCTGCTAATGATTGTGTACATTTTCATAAGGAAATGTGTATTTCAGTTGCATACATTTTCCAAGGCAGATTTAGGTTATTGTGATTTGCTGTGCAGTTGATAGGCTGTATTTGAACTATTCGTGAACATTAGCTTAGGTGCCGAATTATTTTAGTTTTTATCTTAACTGTGACATTTTGTTGGGAAATTATGACTTTCTTTACTCCAAATAATAGTAATATAAGTTTGGAAACGGAATTGGCAGAGGATCTGCTCCGGGATGAGCGCTTGGCTCGAGTTGAAATAGCCCTTTTGAGCGTCATATTTTTCAGTGCCGCAATTTTAAACGTTGTACTGCTATTGGTGCTGTGGAAGCGTCGGAAGCAGCTGTCGAGGATGCGCGTCTTTGTTTTTCACCTTTGCCTGGCAGACCTGGTGGTCACCTTTTTCCAAGTTTGTCCGCAGCTGATGTGGGATATAACGGACAGATTCATCGGTCCTGACATTATCTGCCGCCTGGTGAAATACCTGCAGGTCGTTGGCATGTTCGCCTCCACTTACATGATTGTAGTGATGACCATTGATCGCTACCAAGCAATCTGTAACCCAATGGTGACTTTCCAAAGGCGCAGAGCCCGCTGGAACGTGCCTGTGTGCGTTGCATGGTCCGTGTCCCTCATCGGCAGTCTCCCTCAAGTGTTCATCTTCTCCCGAGTTCAAATCGCGCCTGGTGTCTATGACTGCTGGGCTGACTTTATCAAACCCTGGGGACTAAAAGCTTACGTGACCTGGACCACTCTGGTGATATTTGTGTTACCAATCTTAACTGTTATCGTTTGCCAGGTGCGTATTTGCCGAGCTGTTCAAATCAACTTTCACATGAAAACTCATCAAGTATCGGGAATTGTCACCAAACCTCTGCCCTCCAGGGCCAGTAGCGTTGCTGGGATGTCCAAAGCCAGGATTAAGACCGTGAAGATGACTGTGGTTATTGTTCTTGTCTATGTTATCTGTTGGACTCCTTTCTTCACTGTCCAGCTGTGGTCTGTCTGGGATGTCCAAGCACCCACTGAGAGTAAGTGCTCTTCAACTAAAATTCAATCATATTGTCAAATGTTTTAAAGCCTGAATTAAAACTTTACAATGTATGTTTAATTTATTTATCTTCTATTAGTGTAGGCCTACCCTAAAATGTATAGAATTACATGGAATCAGGATGCTGCTGCTTGATAATCATATTCTGTGTTTTAAAATTGATTTCAGCTGCAACTTTCTCTATCCTGATGCTCCTGGCGAGTCTGAACAGCTGTGCAAACCCCTGCATCTACCTGCTCTTCAGTGGGAAGCTCCCCAAGAGACTCACGGCGTTGATGTGTGTTAGCCAGTCGGACATGAAGGACTCCATACAAGAGGAAGCCACTGTGGTCAGCTCCTTGTACATCAGTTTTAAGAGCCTTTCCGAATCCAGATGAAAAAGCTGCACAGCGCTCTCTCTGGCTGAAAGAGCTTGATGTATAGATATAAAGAGCATGTTACATATTCAGGTAATTCTAATATCATCTATATCATAGGGGGGAAAAAAGAAAATTATTTTTGTACATGATATACAGTACAAAATGTTAGCACATCTATGTTTGTTTTTTGACACTGAAAATGAATATAGACTGGGAGCTGTGTACAAAGACATAAATAGGCCTACTGACAATGTTAAGAAACCTTGTTGCACATGTATATTTGAACATGGAGATAAGGCTAATGATGATTCAGAAATGTTCTAAATCTCACAGCATGATTTTGAACATCCAAGCATTGAGCTGGTTACATGATATATACACAGTAAAATCAACGTATGTAAAAAATAAAATATGTATATAGCCTATGCCCAACATTTATACTTTCAGTGTTTGAAATCATATTATTGTAGGTATTGTGACTGTATTGTAAGTCTGTGTTTTACACATCTGATTTATGAAATAATATCAGCATTAAAATGCTAATACAGGGTGGGAAATAAACATATTTATTTCAGATATGCAATTTATTAATATATCAATTATGAAATGGGAATTATTTATTTTTGGAGCTAAAACTAGGCCTTCAGTGCATTCAGAAAGTATTCAGACCCCTTTACTTTTTCCACATTTTGTTACGTTACAGCCTTATTCTAAAATTTATACAATTGTTTTTCCCCCCTAATCAATCTACACACAATACCCCATAATGACAAAGCAAAAACAGGTTTTACATTTTTCTTGCAAATGTATTTATAATAAAAAACTGTACAAAACACATTTACATAAGTATTCAGACCCTTTACTCAGTACTTTGTTGAAGCACCTTTGGCAGCAATTACAGCCTTGAATCTTCTTGGGTATGACGCTACAAGCTTGGCACACCTGTGTTTGGGGAGTTTCTCCCATTCTTCTCTGCAGATCCTCTCAAGCTCTCAGGTTGGATGGGGGGTGTCGCTGCACAGTTATTTTCAGGTCTCTCCAGAGATGTTAGATCGGGTTCAAGTCCGGGCTCTGGCTGGGCCACTCAAGGACATTCAGAGACTTGTCATGGAGCCACTCCTGCATTGTCTTGGCTGTGTACTTAGGGTCATTGTCCTGTTGGAAGGTGAACCTCCACCCCAGTCTGAGGTCCTGAGGGCTTTGGAGCAGGTTTTCATCATGGATCTCTCTGTACTTTACTCTGTTCATCTTTACCTCGATTCTGGCTAGTCTCCCAGGCCCTCCCGCTGAAAAATATCCCCACAGCATGATGTTGCCACCACCATGCTTCACCGTAGGGATGTTGCCAGGTTTCCTCCAGACGTGACACTTTGCATTCAGGCCAAAGAGTTCAATCTTGGTTTCATCAGACCAGAGAACCTTGTTTCTCATGGTCTGAGAGTCCTTTAGGTGCCTTTTGGCTAACTCCAAGCGGGCTGTCATGTACCTTTTACTGAGGAGTGGCTTCCGTCTGGCCACTCTACCATAAAGGCCTGATTGGTGGAGTGCTGCAGAGATGGTTGTCCTTCTGGAAGGTTCTCACATCTCCACAGAGGAACTCTGGAGCTCTGTCAGAGTGACTATCGGGTTCTTGGTCACCTCCCTGACCAAGGCCCTTCTCCCCCGATTGCTCAGTTTGGCCGGGTGGCCAGCTCTAGGAAGAGTCTTGGTGGTTCCAAACTTCTTCCATTTAAGAATGAAGGAGGCCACTGTGTTCTTGGGGAACTTCAATGCTGCAGACATTTTTTGGCACCCTTCCCCAGACCTGTGCCTCAACACAATCCTGTCTCGGAGCTCTACGGACAATTCCTTCGACCTCATGGCTTGGTTTTTGCTCTGACATGCACTGTCAGCTGTGGGACCTTATATAGACAGGTGTGTGCCTTTCCAAATCATGTCCAATCAATTGAATCCTAGAGGGCCACTAATGTGGCGATCAACCAACTCTCTCACATCTGACTCCAGTGACCAATCCAGAGCCGGAGCGTGTTATTTTTTGGGGAATCCCGATGGACGACGTCATCGAATAGGCCGTCATCACGACCAACGCCCACCCTGCTTCCCCACAATAAATGCAGGAGAGGATTACATAGGAAGACGGCAACACCCGATGTCCCCGCCACATACACAGAGAAAAACACAACTTGTCCAACAGGTCTATATCTGACACATGTTCATCTGCCCTAGGTAAGGGACTATCATTTGTCCCATCATCACAGGCCAATGACTTTGATTCAGATATAGACTTTCGAAAGTTTTTCCACAGTTTGAGATTGACTGAGTTTTTTGGTAATGGGGTTGCTCCCCATACACCTGCCAATGTTAATCTATTGAAATATATTAGTAACCAGAGAGGTAATGGTGCTAATATTTTTCCCATTGATAACCTGAATGACAATGAACTTCACTCTCGCCCTGAGGACATGACAAGGGAAAATACATTTTTACCACCTAAAAGAAATCCCTCTCTTGAAACATATTGCAAATTATGGTGGAAAATAAGTATTTGGTCAATAACAAAAGTTTCTCAATACTTTGTTATATACCCTTTGTTGGCAATGACACAGGTCAAATGTTTTCTGTAAGTCTTCACAAGGTTTTCACACACTGTTGCTGGTATTTTGGCCCATTCCTCCATGCAGATCTCCTCTAGAGCAGTGATGTTTTGGGGCTGTCGCTGGGCAACACGGACTTTCAACTCCCTCCAAAGATTTTCTATGGGGTTGAGATCTGGAGACTGGCTAGGCCACTCCAGGACCTTGAAATGCTTCTTACGAAGCCACTCCTTCGTTGCCCGGGCGGTGTGTTTGGGATCATTGTCATGCTGAAAGACCCAGCCACGTTTCATCTTCAATGCCCTTGCTGATGGAAGGAGGTTTTCACTCAAAATCTCACGATACATGGCCCCATTCATTCTTTCCTTTACACGGATCAGTCGTCCTGGTCCCTTTGTAGAAAAACAGCCCCAAAGCATGATGTTTCCACCCCCATGCTTCACAGTAGGTATGGTGTTCTTTGGATGCAACTCAGCATTCTTTGTCCTCCAAACACGACGAGTTGAGTTTTTACCAAAAGGTTCTATTTTGGTTTCATCTGACCATATGACATTCTCCCAATCCTCTTCTGGATCATCCAAATGCACTCTAGCAAACTTCAGATGGGCCTGGACATGTACTGGCTTAAGCAGGGGGACACGTCTGGCACTGCAGGATTTGAGTCCCTGGCGGCGTAGTGTGTTACTGATGGTAGGCTTTGTTACTTTGGTCCCAGCTCTCTGCAGGTCATTCACTAGGTCCCCCCGTGTGGTTCTGGGATTTTTGCTCACCGTTCTGGTGATCATTTTAACCCCACGGGGTGAGATCTTGCGTGGAGCCCCAGATCGAGGGACATTATCAGTGGTCTTGTATGTCTTCCATTTCCTAATAATTGCTCCCACAGTTGATTTCTTCAAACCAAGCTGCTTACCTATTGCAGATTCAGTCTTCCCAGCCTGGTGCAGGTCTACAATTTTGTTTCTGGTGTCCTTTGACAGCTCTTTGGTCTTGGCCATAGTGGAGTTTGGAGTGTGACTGTTTGAGGTTGTGGACAGGTGTCTTTTATACTGATAACAAGTTCAAACAGGTGCCATTAATACAGGTGGAGGATGGAGGACAGAGGAGCCTCTTAAATAAGAAGTTACAGGTCTGTGAGAGCCAGAAATCTTGCTTGTTTGTAGGTGACCAAATACTTATTTTCCACCATAATTTGCAAATAAATTCATTAAAAATCCTACAATGTGATTTTCTGGAGAAAAAAAATCTCAATTTGTCTGTCATAGTTGACGTGTACCTATGATGAAAATTACAGGCCTCTCTCATCTTTTTAAGTGGGTGACTAAATACTTTCCCCCCCCACTGTATAGTGATACTAAATGCAGCAGACTATGAAGAGGAAATTCTGAGACAACTTAGTGATGATGAATTTTACAAAAGACTCCATAATGACCCTACTAATCAATTCAAGTCTCTGATCCATGATAAATTGTCAACATTTTTGAATGAAGGGGAAATTACGAAGACAGAATATGAGTATATGAAAGTTGACTGCCCAACCACATCTGTCATATACGCTCTCCCCAAAATTCGCAAGAGCATGACACCAGCTATACCAGGCAGGCCCATTGTGAGTGGTAACGGATCTCTGACAGAGAATATCTCTACCTTTGTAGACCATGTTGTGAAACCCGCAATGGGGAGCACTATGGCTCCTAATTATGCTAACCTATATCTAGGAATGTTTGAAAAACAGGTGGTGCTGATTCCAGACCTTAACCCTTTTCTCTCCGATATTCTCCTAATTCTGAGATATTTGGATGACATTTTCGTGTTCTATACAGGGACCCAGGAATAACTTTTGGAATTCCATGCTTATCTAAACTCTATGATTGAACACCTTCATTTCACCATTAACTATGACCTATCACAAATCAGTTTTCTTGATGTGATTGTTATTAAGGACAAAATCTCCCTCTCTACAGATCTCTATAGGAAACCTACAGACACTGTCCACTTATTAAAAGTCTCCCTATAAGTCAATTCAGTTGCATCAGAAAAATATGCAGCTCTGATGCTTCTTATCAGAAACAGACAACAGACCTCACACAGAGGTTTAAGGAAAGGGGGTACAAAGACAATTGGGTAAAATATGCCAATGATCGTTTTGAAGGACTAACACAGCTGGAAAGCCTTCAACCAAAAGTTAAAGAAAAAGCAGAACATGTCCCCTCATGCTTTACCCAATACTCACCATTGGGGAAGGCATTTAAGGACATTATCAGGAAGCACTGGTACATTATTGATACTGACCCACAAGTGAAACCCATTTTTAAATAACCCCACGTATGGTCTTTAAAAGACCCCCAAACGTGAGAGACATTGTGGTTAAATCTGATTACCCACCAGAGAAAAGGGAAACTTTCTTGGACAAGGTTCCGGATGGTA